TAGGCGAAAAAAAAGATAACCGAGAAAGGTGTCTTTGTTCAATGAGTTTCTCGAATTTCAATCTGTTCGTCAAGAACATTTGTTGAATATGCTTATGAAGTGTTTAAAACAGTTCTTTTTCACGTCTGTCAAGTCTGTTAATTTGTACATTATCATGCTTGTCAACCTTGTCCAAGAAGTGATTTTGTTACGTATTTATATACCTATATACCTGTCATTACCAAAACAGTTATTTGATTATGCGGTCGCTTTTAAGGACAAGCAGGCTATCCCAGATTTCGGGGGTTTCAGGACATCTTGACCTACACCAAAAGTGGGCATTGCCCTACCTTTTGGAGAAGTTTTGTTTCTTTAGTGTGTATATTTTTTGGGTTATGGAGAAAACGCTTCTCATCTTTTAAAGAAACTGGAAAAGGGGTAAAAAAAAAACAACCTTTACCTTCGATTTTTATCAAAACAGCATTTTTCAGGATAGCCCGTTTGTATTTAAAAGTAGAGCTGGGCGGCTATGTTCCCGATTATTGAAAGCTGGGAATCATAGGAATCGACCCCGAACCAAATTACTTACTTTCTAATGATGTGATTTCTTCCGCTGGTTACCTGGGTGGCTCCTAACATCTTCAGAATTTAGAATAACCTTGATTTCCTAGCCCTACAAAGCATCAACTTTTATTTCCCAAAAATAAATTCTGAAAAAAAGAAGATTTTAATAATAAAAGTTAAAAAAGTAACTGGTAACCGTCGGAACTTTTCTTCCGTAGCATTAATCATGGGAATCGGTTCCTGAATCGTTTCTTCACACAGCTCTACTTAGAAGCGACCTTACGTACTAGAGTCCGCGGCAGTGACGTCAAGCGTGCAGGCTACGTGCGCCTTACCAGCATGGTCGGTTCTCTCTTTTTTCTTTCTTTTTATAATTCTTTTTTTTGGGTAAGTGTTTCACAGACCTTACAACTGCAAAATATCATATGAGCGGGCGGAACAGACCAAACATTTTCAGTTGGTAGGAAATTATGAATTGCCCGGATTGCGGCCGAAGCCTGCTCTTATCGATTTTGGACCATCAATGGAACTTTAACGTGGGCAACTTGTACACGAGACTACCTAGATTTTCCGCCCATGTCCGAGAAGGGTAGGTGTAGATCTTACGTATCATAAGATCAGGGGTGGGGCTGAAAGACAGCAATAAGAAGGAGAAAAGATGAAGCAATAGAATGGTAACAGAAAGAGTCAGGAGCCCAGAGGAGGGGGCAAAGGAGATGAGTGGGTGGGAGCAGAAAGTGGGAGACGAAAGCTGACGACGAGAACATTGCTTGAGAGCAGGGAAGGAGGTGAAAGGAGACAATTTTAGAGAAGAAAACGTTCCATCGCTATCCGTATTGGAACCCTGGACCTATTGAATGAGAGCCCTCCCCCAGCATAACCGAGGCTTAGATTCCTAGTATGGACGCACCACAGCCCCCGTTCGTTTACGCGAGTAACGTCACTGCCACTAGCTCTCGTAGTATTACAGGTATAACCTCGTCAGTCAGTGCACAATAAAAAATTGTTCGCTTTTAAGGACAAGCAGGCTGCCCCAGATTTAGGGGGTTTCCAGAAATCTTGACCTACACCAAAAACTAGTTTTTGCCTACACCAAAAGTGGGCATTGCCCTACCTATAAGAGACGTCTGGGTTCATTTATGTGTATAATATTTGCTTGGTTATAGAGAACACTCTCCTCGTCTTTTAAAGAAACTGAACAGGGGGTAAAAACTTAACATTCGATTTTGTCAAAACAGCATTTTTCGGGATAGCCCCCTTGTGCTTAAAAAGGGACCGTATATTCATTTATCACTTCAGTCCACCTTGTACCACTCTACATACACTCCGTGACCTACATTTACAAGCCAGACACTCTAAACCACAATCCACTACTTAACTCAAAATCACGTAACTAAGAAATAATGGATTTTTACAACCCGCTTATAGTGCTATTTACAATTTAGTTTAGTTTTAGCAGAGGTTTTACGGCGCTCGCAAAAGCATTAGGTCATATGAGCGCCAGAAGATTAGAGGTGCTACAAGAGAGTAACAAACATAAAAAAGAAGAAGGGGAGATAAGGACGATAGATGGTTGGTAGGAAAGAAGGAGCAAACCACACCAGAGCACCCACCAGCCACTCACTGCTATTTACATGTCAATCAATCTTTAGAGTTATTTACTCGAGTGAATGGTTTTTTTTTAACATAAATGAATGACTCGTAAATCAGTTTTTGAAAGCAGTGAAGGATACCATGAAGTTCTAAAGAATTAAAACACTAGGAACAATATAAGTCAAAGAGTAACGTTGTCGTATGTACAAAAACCAGCCACAGAGAGCCGTTGAGCAACTAGGTAATGTTAACATAACAATAATGATAATAATATCCACAATAATGATTATAATAGCAACAATAATATTACTATTATTTATTAGAGAATGGTACTATGGGGATATTGACAAATATGATAATAACAACTATAACAACAACATCAATGATAATGAAATAGGGAAATAGAAGAATAATACAATGATAATGGCGAAAATGACAGTAGGCCTACTAGTGATAACATAATAATAATTATTATTATAATAATAATAATAAATAAAAATGATGATAATAATTATAATAACAATAATACATAATGATGAGGATAATAATAATAATACTAATATATAATAATAATAATAATAATAATAATAATGATAATAATATAAATAATTATAATGATAATATGTAACAACAAGGTTACTTACACATGAGCAATTACAGGTTGAGCATAATATGAGAGCGAGAAACGTTTAACCAAATTACACATCCCAAAACACTTTCTTGCACACTTATGCACACGTGGGCATACACACCCTCGCAAGCACAGATACAGGTGCCATCGTGGAATGCTTGAACGCAAGGCATACCGACACATAAAATTATGTTAATATGCACTCACACACACACACACATACACATACATAATACACACACACACACATTCACATACATACACGCACGGTCACATAGAGTGGTGGGCTAATAATCACTACCACGATGGTGAGCTCACAGGTCAAAAGATTGCGATGTTTGTAAATGTTTTATATGAAAGCAGCAACAAAACCATATAAGAACATCACTAGGAAAAACAAATTGGTTGTAAGTAAGATCTGGAATAAGACAAGGATTTGTATTATCGCCTTTACTATTAATTATAACATACATGGACTAAATAACAACCGATGCCAACCAAAAGACAACACTTTCAGGGAGCTTCTTTTCGCTGACGATCAGAGCATACTACGCAGGAATGAAAAGGACCTCCCTCCCGCCCCCCATGAACACGTAAAGAAACTGGACAAAGCTAAACATGGAGGTCAGCCGAAGCAACAACAGAATACATGAAAATCAATAAAATACCATGCTGATGAAGAATCACGATTGACAAAGGCAAAATCAAGCAAGCAGAAGAGTTCGAACACCCGGGGAGCGTGTTCACTCAAGACAGAAAGTCGATAGTTAAAAAGAAACAAGAATGGAACAAGTCCAGTGCTGTGACTTACCAACTGGCTCATCCTAATCATTAATAGTATCTTTACACCAGCATTGTTCCACTAAACCCTGACACTGACAATAAACGATGATTGTCACCAAAGCAAAATGAACGCCTGTGAAATGAGATGTCAAATAAAACCTTTGAGCATCATTAAAAATAGACAGAGTAAGGAAAGAGATAGTCAGAGAATAAGATGGCTCGACTCCCTTACTTGGAATACATAGATAAACAGCACATAAACTGGTTTGGACATCTGAATCAGCTGTTAATTAAGTCTACCACCTGCAAGTATGTATAGCAGTGAGAAGGGAGCACACAACTTAGAGTCCGCGATGGATACAGCGGAAGGGGCAGGCCCAGGAAAAGATGGATTGTGGGGCTCAGAGAAATAATAAACAAAAAACAATATTATAGCCATGCTGCAACTTGCAACGCACTAAACAATAGAAAGACGTTTGCTTCTCCCCTCGACACTGAAAGATATCAGAGGCAGGAAAAAAGTAAGTAAGTAAGTAAGTAAGTAAGTAAGTAAGTAAGTAAGTAAGTAAGTAAGTTAGTAAGCAAGTAAGTAAGTAAGTAAGTACGTTTTACAAGAGAGTAACAAACAGGAAAAGAAGTGAGAGAGATACAGACGATAGATGTTTGATAGGAAAGAAGAAGCAAACCACACCAGAGCACCCGCCAACCACCCACGTACGTAAGTAAGTAAGTAAATGTTTTGCGATCTCATTGATGCAGTTTAGATCCTTAGGTGGGCTGCTTTGGATCTCCTTGTCAGAGTTGAGTGGGACACAGCGTCTCAGGAGATAGCTGGGATGGCGGATCATAGAACTCTTTCCTTCATTCGAATCGAACTCGTGCCAATTGCGCGTATTTGTTAAAAATTTCGAATTTTCACTTTGTGGTCACTAAAGTCTTGATGATGAGCCCACTGGTCACTTATAAGTGATTTAGGGGAGGGGAGAGGGGTTGTTCTCATACTGGTCACTCATGTCTTGGTGATGAGCCTTGTGGTCTCTTATGAAAATGATTTTTTTTTTGGGGTGGGGGGAGGATAATGTTTTAGATCTAGTGATTATTCACTTGTAAGTGATTTTGAGAGATGGAGGGGAGTGGTCACTTCGTGGTTACTCACGTTCTTTTGATGAGCCTAGTGGTTACTTATAAGTGATTTGGTACGGGAGAGGGTGATCACTCAGTGGTCTCCCACGATCTGGTAATGGGATCAGTGGTCTTAGAAAGTGATTGGGACCAGGAGGGAAGAGGGGGAATGGTATCTTAGCAGTCACTCACACCGTGGTGGTTGGGGGAGGGGGAAGGAGGGGAGTGATCACTTTGTAGTCACCCATGTGTCAGTGATGAGCTAAGATGTTTCATGCAGATATTTTTTTAATTGGACGGGGGGGGGGGTGGTCATTGAGGTGTTGGTAATATACTAAGTAGTCACTTATAAGAGATAGGGGGGGGTTGGGTCACTCAGTGGTCACTCATATCCTGGTGATGAGCCCAGGAGTCTCACTCAGTGGTTGGTGTCGAGGAACGGAAGAGGGCAGTGGCGACTTGGTAGTAGTAGTCACTCACACTGTGGTAGTGGGCGAGTTGTTCCACCGGCGACAACAAAACACCAACTTTGCCAACGTGCGTCTGAACCTGCGACTGAAGCAGGAGTAGAGGTAGAAGTTGACGGAGGCGTTCAGCAGACCCAGGAGGTTGCAGATGTTCCCGGCGATCTTGAGCTCTGTGCTACTGCTGGGCAGGTTGTAGCTGGATAGGTACGTCTTGTAGAGGAACAGGGCCGTCCAGGGGAGCTGGCAGAGGAGGAAAATCATCACTATGGTAACCAGGAGAAGCGTCACTTTGTTCTGTTCGCGGGCTAGCTTCCGGCTCTGACGTTTTTGGCTGGAGGAGCAGGAGGAGGAGGGTGAGGCTGCGGTGGCGGGGAGGAGGCCTGACGTCCGGCTCTGTTCCTGTTGGTTTTGCGGTTGCTGGAGCTGTTGGTTATGAGGCTGGTGGTGGTTTTGTTGCTGCTGTAGCTGTGGTGGGGGCAGCGATGACGAAGTAGTTTTGTTTTGCAGCAACGGCGTGGTAGGGAGGGTGACCCTACTGGCTCCTCTCCCCGATGACGTAGAGCTTGACCTCACGCCCGACGAGGTGACCTCTGAACTCTCCGAAATCTGATTACGCAGGCTCGCGTGGCCGTAAGTTTGAACGGTTGTTTTCTTGTTGCCATAGCAACCCTTTCCGTTGGAGGTAGAGGAGGAGGAGCTGTGTATGGAAATCAGCGTGAGCTGCTCTCGTTTTCTGTTGGCCAGCAGGAGAGCCCGGATGAGGACGGTGTTGAAGATCGTTAAAGAGATGAGAGGGATGAATGTGAACAGGGTCACGTACCACCAGGTGTAGCCCAGCTCGTAGCTGTCGCTCTGAGAGAACTGAGTGTACCTACACCTCAGCCCATCAGAGCTCTCAACGACCTCAAGCTCAAAGATGGTGGGCAGGGTGTTCACGAGCGAGAGCGCGCTCACGGCGAGAGATGCGAAACGCGCACGTCTCACGGTACACCAGATCTTACCGTGTATCGGATGACACACCGCGACGTAACGTTCGACGGTGAAGATGACGCACACCCACACTGCGACGTTCCCCGAAAAGTTGGAGGCGAAGCGGCCGTAGGGGTTGAAATAATACGCAAAGTCTGGAAGTCCGCGCTTTGCGCATGCGAGGAAGGAGAGAGCCAGGTTCACTGCTAGGTACACGCTGTCTGCCAGAGACAGAACCATGATGTATACATTTGTGGAGGACCGCATGTTCGGTTGTAGCAAAACCAGTATGTTCAGCACGTTGCCTAGGAGACCAACGACAACAATGATGGGGGTAAGAACTGTTTGAACGATGAATCGAGTCGTCTGAAGAGAGGTGATGACGTCAGTGCCGTCTGATGCGTTTCCGAGGAATTCCAAGGGGGTTGACGAGGTCATTGTTAAGTTTTTGGCGTACACATTTGGTTCCAGCAGCATTAGGGACGCCATCTTGAATGTATGTTTTCCTGTGTGTTGTTTTGCTTATCTGTTGGCCTGGATCTTGAGCACGCGTGTGTGTATGTGTGTGTATGTGTGTGTGTGTGTGTGTGTGTGTGTGTGTGTGTGTGTGTGTA